ACCTTGGCTATAGTTTTCCAGTGCCCACATGTCTGCCCTCCAGGTGTAGGCTACCCGATTCTTCAGAGGCCATCACTTGCAGACATGGCCACAACTCTTTATGGCACTGCTACTGCTGCCAATATTTATGCCACCCGGACCTACTTGCCCGACTGTATGTGGTTTTTCGATTCAATTTTATACCAAAATAGTTTTATGGCGGGCCACAAAATTCAGAGGCAAACAGATTTCTTGGTAGCTCTATATGACTTCTACACCGGCCATTAGTTCTCAGTTCCTGCACTCTACGAGAGTGTAATGATGAAGCTATATACGGACTACATCAGCAAGAATCGGCCCAAGCGGGCCAAGTTCCTCCCCTTTGCACACTTGATCACTTAGATCCTCCAGGACCAGCACTATCCATTTCACCTGAAGGAGCACACTGAGACTAGGGCTTGCCACTAAGCCAAGAAGGACTGAAATAAGAGCTACAATGCTCTTATTAAGAGTCTGGAGGATGAGGTAGTCTTGGCGGCCGATGAGGAAGAGAAGGAGGAGGCAGCAGCAGCAGCTGAAGATGCCACAGACGCACTGGCGGCAGAGAGCACATTTATGGACACCTATTTGGAGCAGGAGCCTCCAGAAGGGTCACCACTGCATTATCAGGAGTAGAGTTAGGACGCGCATCAGTCTTTTAATCCAGTCATTCCCGATGCTCCAGCTTAGACACCCAGCTTGGGGTAGCGTATCCAGATATTAGAGGATGTGGTCGCCTCCCTCCGAGTGGATGTGGCTTCTCTTAGCACCGATGTGACCACTTTCTGCACAGATGTGTTGACTGCATTGCAAAGTATTTCCAGAGACATCCGGGGTTCACGCCCTGCCAGATCGACTTCCTCTATCTAACCCCCCCTCCCTCTCTCTCTCTCATTATCATCTTTATACATGTGTTCTTACTTTGATATTTTGATACTGTTATTCTACTTTTGCAGCCAGTATGTTGGCCTGACTACTGTGATGTACATTATACTGTTTTTATTATGCATGATATTTTCGATGTCAGAGTCTTATATTGATATATCTTTTCATGATTGACTCCATTGTCAGGTCCATACCAGTAACTTCAGTGAGAGAGTGTTGCCCATATTTTCCAGGGCCACCCTTATTCTTCTCTCTCTTTATTTCATATACTTGTGTCCCGGCCATTCTTTGCCATAGCTGTACTGGTATATTCTTTCCTCTTTCTTTTGTTCTTTTGCACGTTGAGGACATTGTGCCATTTAAGTTTGGGGGTAATATGTGTTCTTTGCTTTCATTTAATTCAAGATTCTAAGTATGACTTGTGTATTTGAGGGATTTTCTATGATTGGTCCATGACTACCTATGATTTTGATCTTTTGAGGACTATATTGTTTAGAATTTAAAAATTACTTGACTGAAGGGTCCAATACTCCTTATATGCCTTTTGGATGCCATTTAAGAGTATATTTTTCGAAAGATTGATATCTTGCTTGCATTTGTGGTCCACATCATCTTGATTTTGTGATTGTTTTTAGATTCACTCTAAGATTCTACACTAACATAAGCGCACACTAGCACTCATTTGTGGGGTATATGCTTTGTTGACTATTGATTTGGTTATATCCCAATTGAGTTAGTAGTGCATTAAAAGCTTTCATTCTTGATAAAGGTGGATAACAAACCCTTTTCACTAAGTAGCCGGGATTCTAACTCATCAAGCACTGAATTTATATCATCGAAAGGTGGAGGGCCCAAACTCTAGGTTAATAACTTGACCAAAAAAAAAAATGAAGTTGCAAAAGCAAATAAAAAATAAATAAATAAATAAAAATAAAAAGTGAGGACTTCTCCCAAAATGTGAGAAGTGAAAAATGATTAGATGGAGATTGTTTTGATTTGTAACCTAGTCAATTTGAGCTTGTAAGTCCTTAGGGGTGTTTAAACACCTAATGCCCTAAAGCTGTCCGATTTGGGAGTCATTGACCTAACGCTCGACCTCATGGATCGCTAGAAAGCATAATAAATCAACATATTGCACTATGCTTCCATCTTTGATCCTTAAGATTATATATATATATATATATATATATATATATATAGTGAAAATAATAAGCACACCTAGAATAATAAAGCTTTAATAAAAGGTTCACTCTTTGTCTTGATGATCGGCACTAGATTTATGTGCTAGTTTGAGGCCGGATATGATCATTTCTTTGGTTGGCTTAGATAGCAACATATTTAATGCCGGTTCACTTAAAAAGGATTCTAGAGTTGTTTTGATTTGCATGATCATTGTCTTGATGTGTAGAGGACCATATTTGCTTGCTTGATGTTGAAATTTTGGGAGATTGCTTGGAAATGGTTGAAAAATTGCGTACTTGAAGTAACTTTCTCCCAATACTTATTTAGAATATTGGTGTCTCTTTTGTGAGAATAAGCTTAATGTTTGTGGGTATCATTTCTGGAAACCCTCATGAGACTTCACTCGTCTACTAAGGGTAACTTAGGGGTTTAAAAGGCATGTTGCATGTGCTAAATGTAATCGTATTCTCTACGAAAGTGGCGTTATCCATTTATTACTTTCTAGCTCATAGTTGTATAGTGTTCATTTCTTTATTTCCTTTGTAGTTTATTGCTAAAGACTAACAATATTTAAGTTTGGGGGTGTGATAAGTGCTGAAAAGTGCGCATTAAACCCCTTAAGCTTGAACGTTCTAGGACCTTATTCTATCTTATTTTCCTGTTTTAGTCTAATTTCATGTTATTTCCCTTTTTCAGGTACTTATCCCCAAAATAAGTCAATTCAGCTGAATTAGAGTATAAAAGAAGCAATCTCAAGCTTAGTGGAAGAAATAAGCAAAGTGGTGAAAGGAAGCCTTCTTTGATTGATCGAATCAAGCTCTTATCGATCACACAGTGATCTTTCCAACCATGCCATGATGGATCGAGCCTTTTGTCCTTATCTTTAGGAAATTTCCCTGCTCGATCAATCCAACATTCCTTTCGATCGAATGAACATTTTTGATCTTATCCTCACCTACCACTTTTGTCCTTTTTCCTAAAAATATCCCGAAAATATCTCAGCTTTGTCATTATTCAAAAAGGCGCCGCCATAATTCGATCGATCGAAGCACCCTTGTGATTAATCGAATTGCCTCAAGTGCGAGAAAAACAGAGTTCCAGCCAATTAAAAGGTGTATTCATGGTGCAATCATTTGGAGGTCCTAGTACATGAGGTCTGATCATTGGGGGTGACATTTGAGCTACCTATATAAGGATTTTGGCCATTTGGAAGAAAAAAAGAGAATCATAAGGAACCATATACAATATAGAGGTTGGAAGAGTCTAGAGATTTGAGAGAGAGAGATACACACCATTTGGGAAAGTTCTTTCACTCATCTAGGGTTTCTACCAAGAAGAAGAAGATCATTTCTACCATGGAGATAGCCCTTGAGGGTTGGATGACAACATCAATGAGTGGCTAAACCATTCTCTTGGGGCAAGAGATAGCCCTAAGCATGCCTCCTAGACTTTGATGTTTTATAATTAAAGGGGACTTATGTTGTAATTCTTGTCTTGACATCTTATATATATATATATATATATATATATATATATGAATCTTGTTTCTATAATGATTTGTGTTTCTTAATACTTTTAATTGATTATTTAATTTTATCCATATGTCTATGTATGCTAGAATGAATATTCATGTGTTTATTTCTAGATTTTATGACATTGATGCACGTCTATGTGTGTTGATATTATAAATCTAGTGATGGTCAAGGCATGATGCTTAAATAGATTACTCTTGTGGTTTATTTGATGGTACATGGATTGTACCTTCTACTTAGTTTAATTAGTTTAATTTTCATGTCACTAACTTAGTTGTAGCGTAATTGCTTTACTTTCTTAGATAGGAGGACAATTCATGCTTATTGCTTGATGTTCCATACTTATGAATGCAAGTAGTATATTTCTCTAATTTGATAATATGCATTAATTGTGGACTTAAGGGAAGGAATAATGGTTTGATTTGAAACGTTGTGCTATTCACTAGTTTGACTAAACAATGTATACTTACTTGACCATCCATGCTTGTTAATTCAATTAATGGCGCACACTTTCATTTACAACATATAATCCCCCTAATCCATCAAACATTGAATGTCTAGGAAGGTAATGCTTAGTAGTAAATTCTAAGTCCCAAAACTCCTCTTTTATATTCTCTACACCTCATTTTACTTTAATTGCCTTACATTGTATTTATTTAGTTTAAATTGTAGTCTAATTCAACCACCAAACCATCTTTGATCATTCGACCTACTAACCCGACATTGATTTCCAAGCAAAAATACCCTTCCTTTCCCTTGGGACGATCCTTACTTACTCTACCTACATTAATAGTTAGTTGTGGTAGTGGCATTCTATAAATTTAAACTTGGCCACACTATACACTTTTGTGCTTTGGTGCAACGACAACCAATATATTCTTTAAATTCGAAGAAGATGGTATGTGTCTTTTGATTAGATATTTATTCTGAGGAAGAAATTAAAGCTCAGAAAAACAACTAGAACCATGGCAGTGCCATGGAGTATGACTTTTTGGATAGTAAAGATGCATGGTATTGGTGGCTCTGACTAGGTGGGTCACATCATGTTTGACTGGTGCTGATGAGATCCTTGGTTCTCTCCGAACCAACGAGATCGGTCCTTTCCATGTTGGTTGGTTGAGGAATGTTCTGGTTTGATCTTTCGAACTTCTTGGTTTGTGGTTCATTAATTTTATTTTAACATCAATTTCAACTAAATACCTTTATTTGTCTACCTATGGTCTAACCAGAACAGAAGAGCAGAGTGTTGGAGCACGTTAGACATGCGATCTAAGGAAGAAGATGACTAAGGACAGCGGTTGACCCCGGTGCTGTCAGTGCCGACAATTTGAAGCATCGTAAGAAGCCAAGCTACATGGAGAAGACGATAATGGGTATCGGCACATGCCGTTCGCGGCGTTGTTGTTACAGCTGGTGATGGAGGAGGAGAAACAGCAAGAAGACCCCATTCAACAGTAAAAGGGGCACTTCGGGAATGAAAATACAATGTACAGTAGATTTCCATAATTTTGGCAATTAACCTCCATAAATTTATTTTTTTGGAAAGGGTAGATTTGACTCCATGGATTTGGCAATTCACCTTCAAAAATCCTTTTTTTTGGAATTATCCCTAATTAAAAGTATCTAGTTCAAGTTCCTAATACAAAATTTCATTCATTAATTTTTCGTTATTACAAGTGAGAATTTTCTAGGTTTGTTGAGCACTAGCTAACTACCATTTTGACTCATTAAATTTCTTTTTAAATAGTTTTCATTGTAAGAGGGAATGAGAGATAGACAAGGTCTAAGGTTTGATTTTACTTGAGTGTAAATAGTTCCTTGAAGAAGATGTGAGGAATACTGTACACAGTTGAATTTATTTTCTTTTGTTTAATTGTGTTACTTAAATGTAAATAATTTTTCTCTTCAATTTGTATGGTCTTGCTTAATAAAAAAATTAATCGAAAACAATAGTAAATGTAATAAACAAAAGTATTATCAATCCATACTAAATTTTTATGTTTATTATTTTTTTTCAGAAAATTTTTATCTTCAAAATAGTGTTTATCTTATTATTTTTAACCCCTTCAACGGGATAAATTATTTCACATTATTGGTACAATTAACTAATAGAAATGTTTTAATAAAGTAAAGTGTATATTAGTTTTTTAATAATTTACTAAACTATTGCCTAACCAGTAACCACTAAACTGTAACAGTTGTGGAATCACTTCAGTTTAATAGAGCGTTACTAATGAATTTCTAACTGAGTCAAATGATATTGTTTGAATTTCAAGATTTGTAGTCCATTACATTGAGACGTTTTTGAGATGCCTTTTGTGATCTTATAAGTTATAAATCATGACTATGATCTTATAAGTTATACCAGTGCATCTCATATATAGTCATAGGTAAATTAACCTTCGTGCCCCTCCACTACGTAGCTTAGACTTTTACAGTCTTAGAAAATGTTATTTGGTTGTCGGTCCTTGAAAATTGTTCAGTTTCCAAGAAAACTAGGAAGAAGCTAAGTCAATGTAAACATGTACCATTTGAGTGTCTCCGTATCTTCCTTCAATTTTTCTCCTTCTTCCTTGCAACTTCTATATATAAGGATATACATATGTGGTTTTCAATTTTTTTCATGACAACTCATATCCTTCCAATCGATAAAGACTTCTCTGCATCTTTAATAATTCGTTATATATGCTATCAACTAATTGTATCATGTCACGTAAAAAAAATTATTTTACTTTAATATATCATATCACTACATGACAATATTTAATAGATTGGTGGATATTAGGGGATTTTGCGCACATGTAACACAGTTATGTGGGTGTCACTTATTTGAAGCTGATGTGGCATGTTGATAAGTCAATACAACCTTAGCCGAATCCTCCGTGGTAATTTGAAAAGTCAAAAGCCTCGAAAGGTCAAAATTCGAGCACTCTAAGCCCTGGCATCGCTCCAGGCTCATCAAACCTCGAAAGATCAAATCTCGAGCACTCTAAGCCCTGGTATCGCTCCAAGCCCTCAAGCCTCGAAAGATCAAATCTTGAGCACTCTAAGCCCTGGCATCGCTCCAGGCCCATCAAGTCTCGAAAGATCAAATCTTGAGCACACTAAGCCCTAGTATCGCTCCAGGCCTTCAAGTCTCGAAAGATCAAATCTCGAGCACTCTAAGCCCTGGCATCGCTCCAGGCCCTCAAGCCTCAAAAGATCAAATCTCAAGCACCCTAAGCCCTAGCATCGCTCCAGGCCCATCAAGCCTCGAAAGATCAAATCTCGAGCACTCTAAGCCTGGCATCGCTCCAGGCCCTCAAGCCTTGAAAGATCAAACTTTGAGCATACAAAGCCCTGGGATCGCTCCAGGCCCAATAAGCCTTGAGAAGCTGATCCTCGAGCACCCCAAGCCCTGGCGCCACACCAGGCCCATCAAGCCTCGAGAGACCAACTCTCGAATACCTCGAATCCTGGTGTTATGCCAGACAATACTGCTTTGAAAGGCTGGAGCTCCTTAGCACGGGATGAAGGTAGGATCTTCGTGTTATAGTAATCCATATTTGAGAAACTTAAGAGGATCTTGGATTGGTGGATGAGAAGTCAAGAGGTGCCTTCGCTCTCGGCAAGACCCAATTAACAAGATGATGTGATTATACATGTCATGATAGCAAACCTTAAAATCACAATTAATACTATGTCAGACTTGACCAGCCGACGGCCAAGCAACATTTAATGCCCCTGATTAATGGAGAAGTGACATGACAACATGGGACAAGACTCGAGGAAAGGATTTGACCATTCAGACTCCTAAATCTCCAGGATTACTCACGTAATCCAGATTGGGGGTAATGCATGCGAGGGACCATGCATGGAAGGAACCATTGGATAATAACCAATGGAATCCAGATCTATAAATGGCACTGTCCTATGAAGCAAGAACTAACCCCGAAAGAAGAAAAGCTGTCATGAGATATTGTATACTCGCCCTACCACCATCTTTATCTTGATAGTTGGTCTTCTTCTCCTCCTCCTACACTGAGCATCTCCTCTGTTTTCCTTCGTATTTGTATTTTTGATAACTTTATTTTATTGTTGTTTTATTATCTAGTAGAAAAGAACCCCTACAAGCTACATCACACATCTTTATCAAAATGCAACATAGTTACATCACAAAATACAACGTTTTTAACACTCATGCAACAATTTTTAAAAATTATAAGATGCATTTATATCGAAAATACAACACATAAATGAATAATTCAGCACATTTATGTAATTGTTGCATTATCGTTTTTAAGTTTGCATTAATAATATAAAGTTGTTACATTATGTAAAAGACAGAGGCATTACAAAAATGATACAAAAAAGTAATTTAGCTAAAATATCCTCAAATGATAACACAAATGGTAAATGCACACCAGCAATAGCATGAACTGTTGAGTTGACAGTCTTATCGTGATCCAGGAAAAATGAATATTTGGTGATTGTTTCATTATATATATGTGTGCGCGCGCGCGCGCGCAAAAATATAACAATATACATATGGATTAAGCAGAGTAATTTTGATATAACATCGATCTTCAAAGAGAGAAGATGTCGCTTGAAATAGATGGTCTAAAAAAATAACCAATTTACGCTTGTTGATCATATGCGTTAAATGAAATATATATATAGTAAAACATAAAATAAAAAGAAAAAAAGGTTGGTACTGAGAGTGGACTTGGTCTTGGTCGTCCTCTCTTTTTAGTTTTAAACTTGTATGTGAATGTATTTTGTCTAATTCCTACCGTGGGGGACAAGTTTCTACAATTAAACAAATATTAATTCATGATGTGGAAGGAACCCTCTATTATTGAATTTTTTGGCTTCAATATCTTTGAATATCATTGCAGAGCCATTAAAAAAAGTCGGAACTTGGAAAAGAAGTTTACTATTGGATCATATATAAGATAGAAAAGAAGTTTACTATTGGATCATATATAAGATATAAGTACTAGTACTCTTCTGAACTATTAATTTGGGACTGAGAAGTGAGAACTCAAATTATTCTCATAGAGATGGTGAGGGCTCCTAGATCTGAGTTTTAAAGAAAGGCACATGGAGTCCTGAAGAAGATCAAAGGTTGATAGCTTACATCAAAAGATATGGCATTTGGAACTGGAACGTGACTCCAATAGCTGCTGGTATATAAGAATCAATTCTCTGATGCCACGTTTGATAGCACTGAATCGATGATTGGAATTGGATGAAATTTAATTGAAACTTTCAACTAATTTTTTTTTTCAATTTTAATTCCAAAACGCCAATACTCCCAAAAATAACTTGAATATTTCATATACTATTAAAAACTTCATCGATCTGAGTGTCTTTTCATTTGCTTCATTTATTACATATATGTTTATGCTAACCTTCTTGAGTTTGATTATATATTTTCCAGGTTTGTTACGTTGGGTGAATTATTTAAAGCCGGGCATAAAGCACGGAAACTTTAGCAAGGAAGAAGACGAAACCATAGTCGAACTGCATGAAATGCTGGGAAACAAGTAACTGGTCATCTTTAGAAATACCTTTTATATATATTCAGTTATGTCAAAAAGCAACTGCTATATATACAACCAAAACCTTGCTATACAGCCTATACATTAACCATACTAGTTCAAACTAAGCATGGTTAAAGTATAGCAAACCTTGCTATGCATTATTCTCTGTGGAATACTGTGTGCACCTGAAAATCTTGAGCTGTAAGTTTATTTCTTGGTAAGGTATAGTCTAGATACTGTGTGGAATTTGCCAAATTAACATGCAGAATTTATTAATTATGTTTCGATAAAATTAGGTTGCAAAGTTCTGTTTGTTAGAATCATTAAAAAGATACTTTACTAATCTATTGATTAGGATTTAACTTTGATGCACAAAAACCCCATGAATTATAAACTTTAGAAGTAGTATAGATCTCACCTTGATCCATCATAAGTAATAAATAAATAAATAATTAAAACCTTAGAACTTGATCACCGCTTTTGTGTTTTTTAATTTCGAGTGGAGAAAATTCAGACTGCAAAAACACTTTTTAATAAATCTGTTATAAATTGATCAACAGAAGTCCAAATTCGATTATGTCTGTCCAATTAGAAAGTAGACTCAGAGATCATTCCAACCATATATGACTAATCAAACCCTAGTTCCTTATGTATGGAGTTTGGTTGGACTTCAAAATTGGCCCTAAGACAGATTCAGCACATATATTGTCTCAATCTTTTATGTAAAATAAGATCTTCAAACTACTAAATAGTGTGCTATTTCATTACACATGCAAAAGCCTTATGAGAGAATATTGATTATATACCATTAGTAAACTATTGGTACGTCTTCCCCATCAAATTTTTCATTAGGCATAATAGAATATTGATCACCTAACTAGAGAAGTGAAAGAGATTATTGTAATTCAAAGTTCCTTGTATCAACCTTTATGTTGTCATTTTTACACTTTCAATCTTCCAAGCACTTAACAACAACAAAATTCTTCCAAACACTTTGGGCACTTAATAATTGGATGACTTACCAATAATTAATTTCATAAAATTTCTTTTTATAGAAGAATCTAGTACAAAATATGCAAAATAGTCATGCAAAGGACACATTAATTAAAATGATAAATTTCTAACATGTGATTATGATATAAGCTAATTTCTAGCTGCATAAATGAAGATACAACTCTTACATATATATAATTCTAAACTTTCTTGTAGAATATATGTAACTTCCAGAATTGCTGAAGATATTTTTTGGAAAGTAATTGCTGAAGATATTGCATGTGATATTGATGCACTGTGTGCATTATGTTAGGAATTGTATCTCAAATTCTACTCTAATTAGGTTTTTATTTTAGAGGTGTATTTTTTTAGGTAATTTATTGTTAAAAAAGTCTTGGGCTTCAAGGAATTGTAATTATTAGAATTGATTTATAATTTTATAAATAGTTACCTAGGTTTGAAGTTGAGACTTATGAGAATGAGAGACATGTAGCCCTAATTCTAAAGTGGATGGTGGTAGCCCTAATTTTATAGTGGAGTGTGGTAGCCTCATGAGAGAGTTGATGGGTAGAGGTAGTTTATGTATGGTTTGATAGAGTGGGGAACATCGATGGCAAGAAGGAGTCGCGTAGTAGCCCAGCCTAAATCTTGTGTTTGGTTGTGTGACTGATTTATTTATGCCTTTTGCATTTTTTATTTATTTTGGAGTTAAGAAAAAAAACCTAGCATTCACAAAATTTTCTTCCTAGTATCAGAGAATGTATATTCATAGTAACCTGATATATTATATATGCAAATTGCAATGTTAGAGAGCTGCATATATTCATCTATTATGTACTGAAACTGACTTGATCAGAGAAGGATACATATATTTAACCATAAAAAATGAACTTCAAACCAAATGGCACCAGGTGTGGCACAAATTCAAAATATGGGAGATTGAAGTTCAAGGTCAATGTTTTTTTTTCCTATATACAACACACACATCTATAACTTATACAACATTTATTTGTAACATATAATTATATATAAGACCTTTTTGTGATAATTGAATTCTTTTGTTGGAGGAAAATATAATGTTTAGGACTTCTATGTTCGGATTGATATTACATAGGTTTCTTGTCTTCTTTCTCTTACTACAGAAGGTCAGCAATTTCAGAAAAACTGTGTGGAAGAACTGATAATGAAATTAAGAATCACTGGCACTCCCACTTGAAGAAACACTTGAAGGACAAAATACCAGCATTAAACAACTTAGCTGAGACCAACCTTCCACTTTCTGGTGTCATAGAAGCTTCAAAGTCAGTAGGCTCCATGAACATCGATATCCCAATTTCACCACTCTCATCCATGGGTTGTTGCTCTTCGTCACATGCAGCTGATCCCGCTGTTCAAATTGATGAATACATGACCATAGAGTCGATTGGCTCATCAGAAACATTCGGAGATCTTTCAAGCTTTTGGGCACAACCATTTTCAATGGAAGATTTGTACATGGATGATCTCCAAGCGACGTATATTGATCCCGAACAAATAGTTCAAATTTGTCAAGTATGGTACCAAGAACATATAAGTCCATATGGCTTTTATGACGATGCATGCAGTGATTTTTGGTTCAACCTTCAAATTCCAGAAGATGCAGATGCAACCAAAGAGCCTGATGTCCATTTTTAAGTGACTGCCTCCCTGGTCTTGGCTGGGTTTTGGAAACTAAAGAGCTAGTGTGCATGGACAAAAATGACAACTACATAAAATGCAAGAGAAATGAGGAATATTATACAGATAGTGTGAGTTTTTAAAAAAAAAAAAAATTTCATCAGTTTTTTAAATCGTATACGTGCGAACAAAATATGAAAGGGCCGGTGTAATAATAGCCATGCAACTGGCTATTATTTTTGTGTTAAATTACGTTTATGAATAAATAAGTGTTTTTGGTTAAATTACATTCTCTTTATGTTTACTTGAATGGAATTATAAATGATTATAAATAAAATTATTAATACTATAAATTCTCTAACAACTAAATTCTTTGTAGCACTCTATTTTAGTTCATTGATTTGTTAGTGCGTTGCTGAAGTTATATAATTTATATAAGCAAATACCTATTAAAATAAACAATACAAATTTAAACAATTTACAATAATTTATCAATAGGATTTTTATGGGCTAGTTTATTTCTATATATATATATAAAAATATATATATATTTAGTTAAAAGGTAAGCATATATTAAGATGGAAAGAATAAAATGTACAGGATACCCCCAAGTAGGGGGAGTGTACAGCATAAAAACTAAACATGAACAAGCAAAAACATCAACAAACACTAGTATACATCAACACTAACTGGGACTGAACATCCCTATGACCTATAAGACAACCTCCAAAATTGGCTAATCCTCTGAAAGAAGCCATGTGTGGCAACCAGCAAATGCACATCCATCTGGGAACATCTTCTGCAGATTCTCTATTGAATGTTTTTGGTTTAGCTCAGCCTCTTTCTTCAAAACCAGTGTTGATAATCTTGCTCTGATGCAACTTTTGATAAGCTGAATGATGTGTTGAGCATTAGAAGCCTGTTTCTGAAGGCCCTGGCATTCTTTTCAAACCAGATAAAGTAGACAACAGTCGAGAGCAAGAGCTTATGCAGTGTGAAGTGATTCATTTGCTAGTTGGATGAAGACTAGGAAATGAGATAAGTCCAACAATTAGGCCTAATGTAAAACCCAGCAACATTCTGTATGAATTTCCAAACTGAGCTACTGAATGGGCACTTGAAGAATAAGAGATCCAATGACTCCCAACCAGATATACATAAGTAACATCTATTGGTGCAGTGTTTATTCCGCATAGGCTTTGAATCAAGGGTGTAAAATCTCTCTTTGACATCCATCCAAAAAATATGATTGTGCTTGGGAATGTTGTGCTTGAACCAAACAAGTTTGTGCCAACTAAATGACAGTGAGGGAGGGGAGAAGTAATCCATTGTGGACCTCTGTGAAAATCCAGTGGTTAAACTTGGTAACCATTCAATCAAGTCAGGTGAGGCTGAGGGGGAATGTAAGCTATGTAGTTGAGAATTGAAGGAGTTAGAATTAAAGAAAGATATCTGTTGAAGAGATACTGGAATTGACTACTGAAAGTTGGAAATTAGGCTATCAACTTTGACATAGGTTATGCTTAAGTTGAGAGGGATTGAAAGGTGGTTTTAGGTGATTGGGTGATTAGGATTTCAAGTTGTTGGCCGGCCGACGAGGTAGTGTTACTGTTGGAGGTTTTTCTCTCATGGTTTCTCTCATGGTTCTGAGGATGCCAAAAATGGTGTGGGTCAGATACGATCCACATGATAGTAATAGGCCGGGTAATTGATCCTGGTCCAAACCAAGCTCTCGCAAAACAGGCCAAGATTGAAGAACCATGCCAAATGTGATACCCCTCGGATCTGAGACACAGGTAGATTAAGCCCAGGCCCAAACCCGAGGAAATATCAAACAATTAATATTTAAAACGAACACAGATTACAAAATAAATTTAGAAGAAATAAATAATAACACTAAACGAATACTAAATAATAGATACCTCAATCGTTAATCATTAAAACTAAACTTTCTAGAACCTCCAATCCATACAACTTGGGAATCCATCCAATGGACCACTTAATAAAATCCCAAACTAAAACTAAAACAACTGAAGTAGAATTTAAAACTAAACATAGAAAGCAATCCTACATAATCAAAAGAATGAGTGTCTGTATCTGCTCTGCACGTCCAAGCTCTAACCCTGGAAATGACGAACACCTGAAAAATAAGAGAGTGGGTCAGGCCCACATGCAAGTCCTATCCTACTACGATCCATACAGAAATCCGATATGCAGATACATTCTAGATAGCTCAACAATATCTAGAGTAGTCCATATATGTATATGTTACACACTATAGGACGCTCGCTAGTCCAATAGGTCTGTCTTAACCTGAATAGAAGACAACATGCGAAAACGCACCCACAGGTGGGCATGAGTACCTAGACCTACCAGGGAACAACACCTATGTCCAGTTATCCATCTTAGGCGAAAGACGCACCCTAACCATGGTTCTGAGACTCAAGCTCATACCATGGCACCATATCATAAATATATAAAATTCGTATACTCCTAATACAAAATATCATCCATCTAATATAGTGGTTTGATATATGTATAACAATCCATCCAGAAACCAAAGTAGGTCATACAATTATTTTATTGACATGACACAAGTAGGAGATGGATTTAACCTTTATGGTTAATCCATACCTTAATCCAGATTAGGTAGGATTTAACTTATTTGGTTAATCCGTCCCTAGAATGCCACCGTCCCATACCGATGCATTAATCCATCCAGTCCAACAAATGATGTAACAAAATAATAATACATCAATTAAACCAGAAATATTATGATACAAAATTAAACCATCCAGTCCAATAAATGATGCAACATAAAAATAATACATCAATTTAATCCACAGATAATATAATACACATCATACAGATAAATATGGCATTTATTTAAGCAATACCACAGTTTAAATAGCATGCAGCTAACTTACCCTCCAAGTCACAACATACATCTCAGATAAACAAATATAACGTTTCACAAACATTGTTTAATCCGTTTAAACATTAATTTCAATTGTCAAAGTAATTAAATTTACCCTTCCATCTGATCTAAATAACATATAAGTTATTTAAATTTCCAAACCATCCACCCTTTTAGCATATATAAATATAAGATACATTTTGGGATCTTCCTAAGTCCATTAAACCCATTTAGATTAATTAAAATAGGTTTAGAAATAATTCTGGGCAATTAAAACCAACATCCAGGTCGCTGTTCAACTTAGCTGGCTGAGTTGCCAACTTAGCAGGCTAAGTTCCCAACTTAGTCGGCTGAGTTCCCAACTTAGTCGGCTGAGTTGGTGCTAAAGTCATCTTCTTCGTCTGTTCAGCCTCTGTAAACCCTAAAACTCCATAATTAAAGCCTCTAAGCTTCAACCTAAGTCCCATACATCCATACTAAATTATTTTAGATATTTTAACATGCAAAGATTTAACTTAAACATCAATTATGCATCAAAAATTCCAGAATCATTCAAAACAAGAATATAAAACTAAAAACATACAATCCTTTGTTTTAGTTCAATTAAGTATGCATAATTACTCAATTTTAGCATTCATTAAACCCCTGGAGACTAGTTAGGCATGCACAGAACACAGATTTAAAGGAAAGAGTAGAATAGAGACTTGCCTTTGAGTTTCAGATTTGAAACTCTAATTCCATGGTCTCTGAATGTTCCGTTAATGTCCTAGACTGTAGTTCCACCTCTGTTGCTATTGGTTTCACCTATGAGCAACCTCTCCTTCCTCCTCCTTGGTCCAACCTAGCCTTCCTCTCCTATCTCTCTCTATAACTCTCTGTTTCTTTCACTACGGGAATAGGGGTTCTCTGTTTTTGGTTTACAGAATTAAGTTTTCTGTTCTAAAACCCTAAGTCGACATATCCTATAGTATTTATAGGCTTCAATTAACCAAAACCCTATTCCAATTCTAACTATAAGTCGACCATGCTGAATCCTAAAACCCTAAGTTACGATAAACAAAAAAATAGATACGATAAACAAAATAAATAAACAGTGAACCAATTAAATAAATTAATTAAATAATTAAACTAATTAAAACAGTTAAGGCAACCCAATTACTAAATACAACTATTAATTTTAATTTAATCCAAATAGTCAAACAGTTACATATTAATAAAGCAATTAACTTAATTTAAATAAGTCAAATAATACAAATAATATAATAAATTCAAATCATACAACTAATTCAATAATCACCACAATATAAAACAATTAAGCAAATAATCAAATAAAATGACACATAATCAAATAAAATGCAATTAAATAATAAATTAAATACTAGGAATATCCTTTTAAAATTAAGGGTATTATATTCTTCCCCCCTAACAAAAGGAATTTCGTTCTCGGAATTCGTTCTTACCTTCTTCCACTATTTCAGGAAACTGCGAGCGAAAAACATCCTCCCGTTCCCAAGTGGACTCAGCCTCATTGTGATGACTCCAGTGAACACGCACCAAAGGAATAACCTTATTACGAAGGAGTTAATCCCTCCGGTCGACAATACGACACGGTGGCGCCAAATATGTTGCATCCGGCTGCAATTTAATCTCCCTAACATCGATATGCTGATACCGATCCTCATCGCGCAGAAATTTTCGTAACATGGAAACATGGAACACATTATGCACATGATCCAAATTATCCGAAAGTGCCAACCAATAAACTACAGTGCCCACTCGATCCGTAATCATGAATGGACCGACAAACCATGGTGCCAACTTCCCTTTCTTCCCAAAGCGCATAACACCTTTCATAGGTGACACTTTGAGTAGAACCTGATCTCCAACCCTGAACTCCGAGTACGACGATCGGCATAACTCTTTTGCTTACTCTGAGCAGTACGCATACGATCACGAATGAGAACGATCGTCTCAGAAGTATCCTTAATGAACTCAGGACCCAAAAAGTCTGTGCAGTTGAACAAGCTGAACGACTAACTGGATTTCTTATGGATGGATAGGATAGGACTTTAAATATACATTTATGGTACCGTGGCATGAG